TGCTTACTTTTCAGACCAAGAATTAAATGCAGTGTTAACCCAGTCCTTTTCGCCCTACTATTTCCAGCTATCATTAAGCATATGGACTAAAAGATGTCCCAGTTTAAAAAATTACTATTAGACATATAAAAAAAAAAAAATCTCTTACACGGATCTTTAAGGTGAGCATCCTCCCAAATGCCTACATGTTAATAAATGATTTGAACTAAACAAAGTAGTCAAACCCATAGAGTTTAAATTAAAAATCTTTAAACTGAAGATTACTTCTCATCGCGTTTGCTCACTTTGTTGTCTCCAAACTATCATACAGTAAGAAATCCATTTTCCAGTAACCACAAACTTCTTGTGCAATTTTGCAACAGCTACAAAAACGTACACGCATTGAAACAACTTCCTCCCATTCTTCTATTTCCTTCACAAGGCCCATAGCACAGAAGAGTCTTGTTTTTCCCCACAGATCATCTTTAAGAGACATGGGCTAAACACTTGGCCTTGAGTATAGCAACTAAACCACACCCTGAGACCCACAAAGACCACTGCAAAACCTACTGCCTCATCATCTGACTTCTCAGTAGCTGCTTTTTATCTTCCTCCTATTTTCCTCTATGTACCTTCATGATCTTCAAATTCATCCATGCAGTGAAACATGCAGAGGAAGACTAAGACATGTAATGGTTATGGATATTTGAAGAGTAGTATAACCTGAGAGACCTTAAGGACTGTAGCTAACCTTGCCAGAAATGTAGCTCACGGCTAATCACAATTCACTACTACCCAAGTTAGACTCCAAAAGGCTTTCCCCCACCCCACTTGAGACAGGCTTTAAAACTGTAAGTTTCAATGAGCTCTCAATTTACATATTTTTCACTAGCCTGCTCCGCAGAATTTAATAAATACAAATCTGGTACCTGTGTCTTCACTCCTGGTGTCATCGGCGTAGCAAAGTTGTTCAAGTCCCAGATATAGATTTCAGACTCATTAGCACCAGAGGCCACCAGATTAGTCTGTAAGACACAGTAACAGACATTAAGAGTATTTTCAGCATCAGCTTTCACAGTCTTAACTGCTGGGAGGCATCAGATCTGCAGGACTCTGTCGACTTGCCCTGTCAGCTCAGGGTATAGCTTCTGGCTCACACAGAGCAGCTTAGGAAAAAAGGCAAGGTTTTTTGAGACTGCAGGTAATATTGAGTTAATTAAAAAACATCCACACACTAAACTAGACTGGCATGCTAAGACCAAAATTCATGGAGTGCTCCTCCAGTGCACAGCAAACACTCAGGAAGGGGCTGCAGAGACACAGCCACACGGGCAAGGGGAAAGGGGTGACACTTGTGTGAAGGGGCAGAGGAGGAAGCTGTGCTGCAGCCATGGCCAGCACAGAGCTTTGCTCCAGACAGAGCGTGGCATTTGTGCCTCTGGTGGACAGCACTCTGCTCACAGTGAGTGCAACCACCCAGGGCACTCCTGCACCTGGGATGCAAAAGTCCAGGCAGGGTGACATGAGCCAAGGGCACCAAGTGCCCTTTGACCACGTCGTGGCTGATGACAAGCGAGTCTTGACTTCATAACAGGCAGAAAGGGAAAAGGAGCAATTCAGAGCAGATACAATGGACACAGGGCAGCCTTGCTGAAAGCAAGAGGGCAGGGACAGAAGTGTTGTTTAGGGAACGAATTCAACTCAGTTCTCACACAGCTGGTGGGGACCAGGAAAAACCACACTGTAACTAGAGGGAAGTAAATGCTCATTAGTGATGTGGGAAAGCTTGTTGGTTTTGAGAGCCCTTCTGCTAAAAAGGCCACGTGGCTGTGTTTTGCTGTCTCCTCTTTCCAAGCAACAATGCTTAGAAGTCTTGAAGATGGATCCTACCTAATCCCCAGAGGAGATGCCCAGAATCTGGTCTCTCCATAAGTATGAGTGAGAGCACATAATTACTTCCTGTGTGAGGAGAACAATACTGGCACAGTGCACAGAAGCTAAAAAAGGAAACTGGCTAAAGACACCACAGAAGGCCACCTCTACTTCACACATAAGCTGAGCTAAAAAGACTCCCTGAATTGGCAATGCAAACTGACAAAGGGAAGGAACGAAGCAGACACCTCAAACGCTTTCATACCCCATCCTGAAATGCCAGTAACAGGACAGGATTTCCCTACTAAATACAAACAGACACTCAAATGCTAAATTTAGTTCACGCTTTTCATGGGAGGGGAAGCAACAGAAACATTTTTAGGTCACAAGTGAAGACAGGCCACTCCTCTATGATGGTATGTTATGAAGAACAGCAGAAAACCAACCTGGAACATGTTGACATCGAGGGCTCTTACTGGTCCCGTGTGCTTGTCTTTCTGGGCAATTATTACTTCGGCGTCTCCATCTATGATTTTGGCTGGGTCGTACAGGATGACATTTCCATTTTCACCCCCAGCAATCAGGACTCCAGAGACTCTCTCCCCCGAGGTCATGCTGTGTGGGCCCCAGATCAGCTTGTGGTACCTGTAAGGCACAGAGGACCCCACAGTCTACAACCATCCACCACCAGCTCCCCATAGAAGGATGAATTCCCTTTTTGCTCACCCCAGCTAAAGCCTCTGCTGCAAACAGATAGAGCAGGCATGTCAGAGAAAAGCACTGCCTGCATTTCTCCTTAAGGATGAGTCTCTGTACTTACAACTCCTTCCATCAGAAAGACATGTCCCATTCTGCTCATTAACAAGAGGCAGGGTCACAACAAGACCAATCAATTACCTGGAAACTGATAACATCTCTAATCTCTGGCTGCAAAAACAAGTAAGTGCACCCAGTTGCACATGATTTTGAGCTCACCTTTGCAAAACAATAGGAGTACTCAAAGTAAGGACTGTAAGCCCATCCAACTGCAGCCTGGAGAAAAACTTCTGCTATTTGCCAACAGCTTCACATAAGAGGGGAAAAAAAAAAAAAGGTGGAACTAGAAAAATTCTACATCCCTTCCCATATCTGTGCTTTTGGATGTGCAAGCACTTCATCTGCCACACCAGGGGCTCAGCAAGTGGTTTGCTCACATCACAGACACATCTCTCGGACCACAGTCTATTTTCCAGGCTAAATCACAAGGAACTAAACACACTTCCAGAAATTAAGAATTTCTGCACCACTGTGTCCCTCTGTAAATACCCAAATTTCCTTCATCTCAGTGAACTTGCTACATAAGCAAAACAGCATTCCTGTGCATTTAGCCATGCAAGGAATGAATTTCTTCCAATAAAATGACATAGTTACCCATCAGCTCTTATGCAAACAGAAAGCAAACCGACACAGACCGGAAGGTGGTGAGGAGCTACTTTAGCATTCACTGTATTATTATTAATCTCTTTGTTATCTCTGGGAAGTCTTCAAGTAATTTCTTTTAATCACAGCAACTTCAGCAGGATAAAATACATCCTGCAGGAAGCTACACAAAGAGCATATGCTGGGTGAGAAATACTGTAATAGCCAAGTGCTGAGTCTCTCACTGTTCAGATTACAGTGGGGGTTCCCCAAAGAATGATGCTACAAAAGGAAATTGGTCTGTGATATCAGACAGCCTCATTCCCTGGGTATGATTTTTATACTTCTGCACCTAACCATTAAAGTTGACGAGAAATGGAGCGACTGACAGGGCTGTCCAGGCACCACCAGCAAGACTGAACAAGACTTCAGATAATCCAAAATGAAGGCAGAAAACAGTAAGAAACAAAAAAGCTGAGTCAACTGTTCAACTACCTTCTTCTTGCCCTTTGCTCTTTCCAAGATAAAGCATGGTTCTACAAGAGCAGTGCAAAACTTTCCTTGGAAAGGATTTATCTTTTGTGGGTCTAATCACCAGGACATTTTCACTTGCTGCAAACCAAAATAAAGACTGATGTATACACTGCTATCTTATCTTAAACAAAAAGACAAACAAACAACCCTCGACCTCCTTTGTAATGCATTTTCTGGGGCAAAGTCAAATTCTTGTGTTGCTCATCAAAGGAGGTACTTCCACAGGAGCACTGCATCCTGGCTATAAGGAGGGTTCTTTGAAATTCAGTAAACAAGTAACAAGCCTCGAAGAATCTCAGTCATAGTTAAAACAAGGTAGAGCAATGAAATTCTAAAAGATCAAACACCTCATCCTGCTCCGAGCAGGTCAGTAGGACATGTTAACATCAGCTTTGCCCACAGTGAAGGGCATTAAACAGGGACTGTGGACCCACAAGGAGCAGTAGGCACCGGACCAGCTGCCAAAGAGCTGCCACAAGCGCTGCTGAGATGGAAATTGGATGCTCTGATGCTAACAATGTCTCTCTGGATAAGCATACAGTAAGGAACTAAGCACTAAAGTGGAGCTGTACAGTCAAACTTGGCTTCCCAGCTGTGGGAATACATACGACATGACTCGATTTAGTTCTGTTACAGGAGCCTCCCTGAAATGCCTAAATACAAACAGGATGGGGCAATAGGAAAAGTTAGCACTGCATTTTCACAATTTCACGTTTTCTTCTGTTCTCTTGTGAATCCCAGAGACTCCACATAACACACTCAAACCTTCCAGCCAACGTCAGATGTTTTAGGTTTATGTCCGAGCATGAGCTGCTTGCAACCCCTTGCAGTCCAAGCTCACTGCCCTACAACATCAGTGGCACTCGTGTGCCTTCGTCTTTCAGTGCTGAACTTCTGCTCCTCTCCTCAACAAATGCAGACACACCACATGAAGCGACCTTTCCACACACACCACGTACAACAGTTTCACAGATGTTACTTTTCCCTTACAACACTGCCTACCTGTGAGAGGAGGAGAACGTGGCACAGGTCTTCATATCCAGTGAAGGATCTGATAAGTCCAACTCAAATATTTCTAGAGAAGCACTTGTGCTGAAGGTGGCATCCAGCTGCTGAGCTGATGTACCTGCGAGGAAGCACGACTGGCAGTGAGAAAGCCACTGCACAAAGCACTGACTGCAAAAGCAGCACAAGGAGAGACATAAAAGCAACATCCTTGCAAAAAGGACCCCAAGACGGGGTTCAGGTTTCTGTTATTTAGATGCAGTGCTACATAACTCTTCTCCCCATGGTTCACCCTTCGGGTGTTTCTTAACCTGTATCAGCAGGAAAAGCTTTGGGCAAGTACCTCTCTCTCCCTGACGATGCACAGAAAATGATCAGAGTTACAAACAAGCCAGAGGTGACCAGCAGTTAGGATTGCTGTCACCTTCCCCTGGAAGAAGGAGGAGGATGGCTTGCTGTCACTTGCAGAATGCAAAGCATGTTTTCATGCTGGCACAACTGGAGAACTCTACTCAAGACACCACAACCTATACCCTGCTCCAGCCTCCAGGACACAAAGTAACTTCTACAACTTTCAATTAGGGCCACTCAATGGCAGCTACTGCACATAGCCAGAGGTTTGTCAGTCCATGCTTCCCAAAAACTCACCTGTGGCCAGGTAAATGGGGTGCTGCTGGGCAGGGCTCCATGCCTGCATGGCAGTACGATCTATTTCCTTCAGCTTCATTTTGCTAAAAAATAAAGACCAAGAAAAGTGATGCTTAAGCAGAGCACGGGGAGGCTGCACTGCCACGGATTCAGCTGCTGCACCAGGGCTTGGCAGGAGCTGCCAGAGGGACTGTTCTCCTAAAGATATCCCACCGACAGGCACCTCAGCCATCCTCTCCAGAGCACACCCAGGGGGGAGGGGAGGAACAAGTCCCCGTCGGCAGAGTAACATCGGCACGTAGGGGAAAGAGATGGTTGCTGGACATAACACAGGAAAACGTGGGGCAAACCCTCAACTGCTGCGAAAAACCCTCTTCCAGCAGCACCAAGGGATCCACCACCCTACAGCAGCTCTCTGCCTTGACCCACCAAACAAACCTGCTCCCGAGAAGACCCTCCCTGGACGCCCTGCCGCCAGACACCCTCAAGCAGCCCATTTTTGGGTCTTATTTCAACACCCCTCACCCTCGGGACTGGCACCCACGCCCCGCTTCCCACAGGAGCCGAAAGGGAAAAGGAGCGGAAAGCCGAGGTTGCCCCCCTGCCCGGCTCACCCCCGCGTCCCCGGCGCTCAGGCGCTCCCGGACCGCTCCAACGTGGCAGCCCCGGCACCGCCCCCCGGCCGACACCGCCTTCCGGGCGCGCCCCGCGCCTTCCGGGCGGCGGCGACGGGGACGCGCCTTCTCGCGGCGGGAAGCGCCGGGAAGGGCCCGTGTGGTGGTGGTGGTGGTGTGATGTGTGTGTGTGTTGGGTAGGGATGTGTAGCCGCCTCCTTCCTCGGGGTTGTCCGCCGCGTCTCTCGGGGCAGGCGCAGCCATGGGCCCTGGGGGAGAGGGAGACAGGAGTTAGGGGATCTAGAGGAGCCGGAGAAGGGGGGGCGATGAGAAAGGGGGGAGCGGCGGCAGCGCGGGGGCTGCGGTGCCGCCTGTCCTCAGCTCCAGGGCAGTAATCATGGCGTGCTCAGGATGTGAACAGCAGTGAGGCTCATCATCGGACAGGGGCGGGACGGGGGGCACAGCCCGAGGGAGAGACCAGCCGGCATCCACAGCCGGGGGGGCGGCAGCGCCGGACCCACCTCTCGCGGCAGCCGAGGCGCAGCAGCGCTGCCGCTCCCCGCCGCCGGGCTCCGCGGCCGCTGCGTGGGCACACGGCGTGGCCGGGGCGGGCGCAGCCCAGGCCGGACTGGGCAGCCCCACCGGCACGGCGGTACAACGGGAATGGCGGGTGGTGCGCCTGGCCCCGCTATATATATATAGGGGTGAGGAGCGCCGCTCCCATTGGCCCCGAGGACCGCCGCTCGCCACTGGCTGCGCCCGCCGAGGCCGCCGCTTCCGGTTGGCTCCCTTCCCTTCCCGGTCCCGCCCTCTGGACAGCGGGGACGCCGCCGCGTCCAATGGGACGGCGGTCCGCCGGCGTCGCCAGCCAATGGGGGAGGGGGCGGGCCGGGCGCGCGGGGCGGTGGCGGCCAACGGGCGGGCCAGCGCGGGGTGCGGGCGCGGCGGCGGCGAGCGCCGGTTCCGCCATGACGCGGAGCTGTTCCGCGCTGGGCTGCACCGCACGCGACAGCGCGCGGAGCCGCGAGCGCGGCGTCTCCTTCCACCAGTGAGCGAGCGCCCCCTGCGCCCCGGCCGCGCTTCCCGCGCTTCCCGCCGTCCCTCTCCCTCCATCCCTGTCTCTCCGTCTGCCGCAGGTTCCCGGTGGACGCCGCGCAGCGCCGCGCGTGGATCCGCGCCGTGAACCGCGTGGACCCGCAGAGCCGGCGGCCGTGGCGGCCCGGCCCCGGCGCCATCCTCTGCTCCCGACACTTCGCCGAGGGGGACTTCGAGCGCTTCGGGCTGCGGCGGAAGCTGCGGCGGGGGGCCGTGCCCTCCCGCTTCCTGCCCCCGGTGCGGTGCGGGCGGTACCGGACGCGCTCCCCGCGCCCCCTCCCCGCGGGGTGTCCCCGTGTGCCGTGACCTTCCCTCTCCCTCCCCCGCCAGGAGCCGCCGGGCGCCGGCCGGAGGAGGAAGAGGAGCAGGACCCGCGTGCGGGCGCTGAAGCAGCCGCTGCGCGGCCCCCCCGGCGGGGACCACAACTACAGCCTGCGGGGCCGCCCCACGGACACCCCGCGCACCGTGGCGAGCCTCCTCAGGATGCTGGTGAAGAAGCGGCAGCTTCCTGAGGAAATCGTGAGTTTGCTGCGGGCGCAGTTTTCAGGTACTGCAAGGGACGCTTGCTGAGGTAGACAGAGCGTGTGCTCGCTCCCTCATCCCGGTTTTGTGTCTTTGCTTGACTTTATGGTGCTGGTAATCCCCGACTGTTAGGCTCCTAGGACCTCCTAGCTTTGTTGTTTCTAGGTCCGGAATGCAGACACCAATCCTACAGAGAATTAAAGTCTCCCCCAAAAATCCAGTTGCTTGAGGCTGGGTGCAGTGTTCAGGTCAGACCTGTAACCAAGGCTGTTAAATCAAACTATGCCACCATTCAGTTGTCACATGACTCAAGAATAGAGTGTATTTAACTAGGAAAACCTTGTCTTTTGTGCTGCCCAGAAGTGGCTTCTGTTAACACTGATGATCTAACCCAAAGAAGCCATTTCAAATCACAGAATTCAGCTGTAAGTTGCTGGCTTCTTACTTGCTATGTCAGTTTTTAAGCAGCACCCATGTGTGCGATTCACAGTCTTTACTCAAAACTGCAGAATGACATTCACACCAGACTTCAGGACTGAGTGGTTCCAGAGGCCACACCCCATTGCCTTGTGTTCTGCAGTGTATTTGTATCACGCATCCCTCTGTTATGAGCCCTTTATTTGCTTCACTAAAGCTGATCTCTTGTGATTTCTTTTCGAGCAGATTTGCCTTTTGAGCTGCACAGCTGGAGGCAGATGGCAGAATACTCACCAGAAATGAGGCAATTTGCCTGCATTCTCCACCTCTACCATATTAAGGCCTATGATTATCTGCGGAAGATTTTTCCCCTCCCTCATCCCTGCAGCCTGACAAAGCAAGTTTTTACTCATTCCTTCATTCTGAATGTATTTCCAGGTACTCGTGTAGGAATAGGTGTAACAGATCTGTCCCGAAGAGCAGTAATTCAACGGTAGTAATTTTCCCTGCTTTGTTTTTAGTAACAGGAGCAGAGTGGAAAGCAGATGTCAAGGAACACGGATAGCCCTCAGAGAGCTGGAATGTGTTCCTGCATGTGGGACACAGCATAAGAATAACACACCTGCACTATGTCCCAGGCTGCTTATCAGAATTTACTACCTGAAGTGCTGTCAGACCTGTCAACAAGAGTTGTAATGACAGACAAAACAAAGGCTGAAGGAACTCTCCCCCTGCAGGTTTAGAGCCTCAGACTCCTGTAGGGCAGCTGGAGGATGCCCACGGGATACACACGTTGTCCATGCCAGCCCGTGGGGGTTTTACCCAGCTTCTTCCAAGGAATCTTCTCACAGGGGTGGCAGGAGATAGTGGATAGGGTATAGTGTATTGGGAAGAGTAGCATTCCACATGGACTGCTGAGGGGTTCACATCTTCCGAACTGGATTACAGTGTCCGGTGTGGAGAAAGCCAGTTGGGAAGGAGAGCAGACAGGTGTTGCTGGCCCTGTACATAGCCTGATTTGCACTTCTGTGGTGTAATTTTTTTTCCCCTGTTATCATGAGATCTTATACAAGGTGCTTTCCTTGGCTTCCCATCACTAGGATGTGAGAAAACAAACTTGCACTACTGAGAAAGGCAGGGCTGCCAGTTTTACACTCTGTCAGCCTGCTCTGCAGTCCAGGCATGGCTGACCACATCCTGAGAGGTAAAAGGTGCTGACTGTTGCTTCAGCTTTCTCAGAATGACGTCTCAGAATCACATCCTCCTTTTTTTTCCAGTTGGCTGTCTAATAACGAGGCTGCTGCAGGCTTCAGCAATGACATTTTTCTCCGGCTTCAGGAAAAGGTGGAGAGAGGGGATCAGGCCTACTGCTACTGTGCTGTGATGGTACAAGACATGTCCCTGCAGAAGCAGCAGGAGTGGGACCCACAGACCAGGCGCCTGACAGGCTTTGTTGACCTGGGAGCAGGCATCCTTGATGCTGATGAGGCTCCGCTGGCCTCGGAAGCAATAATCCTCATGGCAGTCGGCATCTCCAGTCCCTGGACAGCTCCACTGGGCTACTTCTTTGTGAACAGCATGACCGGCCGCTTGCTTGCTCAGCTCTTTCATCAGACCATCAGTAAGCTGAATAACATTGGGATCACGGTCCTGGCTGTGACATCAGGTGCCTCTGCTCGCGGTGCTGAGACCGCCAGAGCTTTGGGGATCAGGATGGATCCCGAAAGGATTCGGTGCACTTTCCATCATCCGCCTGGTTCTGCTCACAGCATCACATACTTCTTTGATGTTTGTCACGCGCTTCAGCTGATAAGGAATGCTCTGCAGTGCTTCCAGAAAGTAGAGTGGCTCAGTGACACCATGTGGTGGCAGCATGTGGTGGAGCTGGCAGCTCTGCGGGAGCAGAGGGTGTTGGAGCCATGCAGTCCCAGCTCAGGCAGATCTGGGAGCAAAGAGAGTTACCATCTGAAGGTCAACTTTGCTACACTGTTGTTCAGCGAAGGTGTTGCCGATGCCCTAGAACACCTCCAGAAGCTGGGCCTGGCCTCATTTCAGAACTGCAGTGGCACTGTCAAGTTTGTGCGTTTGATGAGCTCTCTGTGCGATGTATTTTGTGGCAGAGGTCCCTATGGAAAGGGACTGAAGGTGCCTTTGCTGGCTGGAAATTACACCAAAATAAGCAACCTCTTCAATGAGGCCAAGAGCTTCTTTGTCACCTTAACAGACTCTGTGGGGAGATACATTATTAAGAGCAAACGCAAACTAGGATTTCTGAGTCTCTTGCTCAATGCTGAAAGCCTGAAGTGGCTTTACTCCAACTACATGTGTCCGGAAGGCACTCCTTCCCACCACCTCCAGACCTACGCCTTCAGCCTGGACCCACTGGAGCTGTTTCTCAGGGCCCTCCAGCAGGCCTGTGGCACCAGTGGGAGCCCCACCTGCACTGTGTTCCAGGCTGCTTATCACAAACTGCTGGCCAGCTGCAGCCTGTCACCAGGCTCACCACACAGCAGTGGCTCAGGCAACGTGAGCTCCTTGGACGTATCCCTGTCTCATAGCAGAGATCTGACCCTGGGCAGCATTCGTGCTCAGTATAACCCAGCTCGTGGGAGGGCACTGGCAACAGAGTACCCCTTCTGCGCAGGCCTCCTTTTGCACAGCTCCGCGCTGAGTAACGCGCTGACGGACCTGTCCCTCCACGCGTGGAGCGTCACCTGCGCCGCCGGCTTCGTGGCTGAGCAGTTGGCCTGGGACTTGCAATGCGAGGCTTGTCTCGCTTCCCTCTTTGACTCAGATGAGAGCAGGCTGAGGTGCAGGTCAGTGCTCTACGTAAAAAAGTCAGGCAGAGTGAGTCTGCCCTCGGCAAGCGTGCACTGCATAGCAAGCATTTCGGAACGAGTCCTAAAGCGGTACGGCAACGTAGGGGATGGCAACAAAAATACCAAGCTGTGGCATTCGTCTCTAGAACAGAAAGTCTTCCAGGAGCTTCTGGGAGAAAGGCCCCTCTTCCCCACCCTCACAAACCATTTATTTGATGGGGAGTTGAGCATCAACAACCACTACACAGTTTTACTAAAGAAAATAACAAGATGTTACTTAAACATGAGAACAAACCCTGCACAACACCTGAACTTGAAATACCCTTGTGGAAGGCACAGATTGAAAAGACATTTATTTCCATCACCACTGGGTAGCTGTCAGTCAAGCTGTACTCATGTGGCATCATGACTACTCTGCTGTTCCAAGGATGGCTGTGCCCTGCTGAGGGGCTCAGTGATGGCTGGATCTGGGCAACACGTGTCTTCCCATGATTCGGCCACCAAAACTGGTATTAAGCAGTGATGCGCTGGGCCACGGCAAAGCACCCGATCGGAGTCTGACTAAGCAAATCAAGGAGGTTTATCTGATCCTGCAAAGTAGCCACACACTTCATGAAACTTGTGTGGCAGGTCAGGATGAGCAATGGTTGCTTGAGGTGCCTGGGACAGTGGTAGGAGACACTGCAGTGTCCCCTGGAGGTGCTGGGTGGCTTCATGCTGTGAGCGCTTTTGCCAGGAGAAAACTGATGCATATTCCATGTGGCTGGGAGAGATCACGTGTGCTGGCAATTTGATTTCACCAAAACAGATCTGCTTTATGAAAGCCACAGGCAAGAAAGCTTGAAGAGCTTTTACCTTAAAAGCAAAATAAAGATGTGAAAAGAAAGTGGCACTCAAGTTGTACCTGGGTGTGCTGTAGCAGGGCGAGTGTTTCAGGTCCCATTTCGTGGCCCCATCAGCTCACCTACACAAACTCAACTTTGTGTCCTGCAGCCCAGGGCACAAGGGAGTCTCCTTTTGATGTTTCCACTGATGACTTGAGTCATAGCTTTGATGCCATCAAGTAGGACAGGCTTTTTCAGTTAATTAATTTCCATGGCAATTGAAACTGCCTCCAGCGCTTTACCAGGAATAACAAAGTTTGGCATGACTGCTACTAAATGGCATCCCTTTACCGTGCAGAACAGCAGTTGCATCCATAGAGACAGAAGGCAACTAATTCCCACCAAACTTGCTGTTCAGTTACTTTCAAGCTTCATGATGGAGATGGGATGAAAAATGGTGATCCACCACGTCCTAGGGCAGGAATAATAATTAAAGGTGCCATTCTGCCTACCAGTGACTTGACAAAACTGTCCCTGGTTGGTTCGGGTTCTTCCTCCTCTCTTTAGTCCTAATCACACCGTGGGAGCAGAACTGCTGCACTCAATTCCTCAAGCTCTGGTTTGAGAGCTGCAGCACCACAGAACTTCACGCAATCACTGCTGGGAGGAACAATCCAAAACCTTTAGACTGTTTTTTTTCCACTCCAATTACCTATGCAAAAAGCTGTGTTGAAGCCATCACTGTCATGGAGCCAATTCCAGCTACAACATACTTTGCAGAAAACTATTTCCCTTCAATATATATATATACATGATTTTTAGGACAAGTGGAAAAATGCTGCCAAAATCCCAGTGCTAGATTGGTTGCAATCATATATTGTTGTAACACTCAGATTGCCTACACCTCCAGCCCCAATATGAGTAGTTATGGACTGGGATTGCTGTGCATGACAATACACCAGTAACCAAGGGATATTTATCTCTAGTAGAATTTGGTCTCATACTGAAAATGCAAGTCAGTACTTGCATCAGAAGTGGACCTAGTATTAACCATTTATTTTGATATTTCAGTGAAAAACCTTGCGTATTTGTCAGTGCTGAAGAAAAGGAGTGCGAAAAAAATCGTATTTACAGAATAGTATAAATGTTTATTTTTTGTGATTTATCTGACTGTTTTATTTGTACAATATAGAAAAGTGTATTTTTTGAATAGGTCTTGTAAATATAAATTTCATTTTTCTACTTTCGGATGTAAACAGAACTATAAAATGAACCCTTGCCCCATTCCCAATTATTTTTATTTAACTGGATGAACTGGATGACTGTAAATCTTGTCCAGCAGTTTGATGCAAATGGCTAAGGAAGTACAAAAACCAATTCATACACTCTACACCAGGGAGAGAGGAATCCAAGCTTAATATTTGAGAAAGCTTGTTCAAAACAAAATAGAAGAACTAAGAGCATTTGATTGCACCTTCAAAGTCTTTACAAGCAAAATATTCTCCAGCAATGCCATCATACATAATTACAACTGTAATCTAAATTTCACAAGTGCTTTTGCACACTGTATATAAATACACATCACAAAAGGTGCAATTTAGAGTAGGACACGGAATATATACAAAATTAACATGGACTGAAGTCTAAACAAAAGGCATATTGCAATCTGTTCGAAAAATAACGTAAGTAGGTATTACTTTATTCACTTACACTAATTTACATTTATACAAATCTTACTGGACATACTATATTAGGTCACTAGAAGTAAACAGAATATCCGCACTATCTACAGGTAAAGTTACTGCACTGATTTTTTTAGTAAATCCAAGTCCTAATCATGAGAAAAATGGCATTTACTTACACAAGAGGAGGATTCCCTTTTCAGAGATATGCACAAATATACTTGTTACTGACGCTCAGGGAGATGTTAATGGCAGACAGAGCCCTTCAGACAGTGACTGGCAGGCCAAGCCCTGTCTGCAACAGCCACTCAGTGGGCCCAGCACTGCTGCTGGATGCTTCCCAGGCCCTTTCATGCCTCCAAGGCATTTTGAGGAGGCACTGGTCAAGGGCCTTCTGGCTCAGTGCACAGGGCTGTGAGGTGAAGCATCCTCCCATCCTATTTATTGCCTTCACACACATAGGCACATATCTCTGCTGCTGGTTTGCCTAGGCCCTACTTTTCCCCAGCCTGGCCCTGCTAGAAAACCTGAAGAAGGAGCTCTGCTGCATTTCTCTGTATTTACAGTTTTAATAGAAGGAATACAAAATACCTTTTGGAAAAACATAGCTAGTTCAGGCTGCAGTGAGACAGGTAATAAAAACGCCTGTGATTAAACGTGGTTAATGGATGTTCACGATAGGTAAGTAACCTACCAGGTTAATTTTGCAAATGTGTTCCACTATCAAAAATGTGATTTGAGATTGCCTGTAACAAATACTGAAAAAGATCCCCTGCCTTAGTCTATACCCAGCTATAGCTGATTGCCCCCCCATTTAGTGTAAAAGGATCTGTGTGTCTGTTTTTGTAGCAATCCTGATTCTGTGCTAGTATATTCTCTGATCACAGCTCTCACAATTATTCTCAACAACTCTAAAAAAGCCCTTAAGCCAAGAAAATTGCCAAGGTATAGAGAAGCAGCACCCTGAAGACCCACAGCCAGGCTGAACATGATCCGTACCTGCATTTGCAAGTCGATTCAGATGCAGATTGTCATCTCCCATGACTTCAGCTTCTCAGGCCTAAACAACTTCCAGGGCTACAGCTTGATCCTAGAAAACACAACGGACTGCACAGCCCTACTTCCAGTGAGGGATTAGGCTGCTGCAGGCCTCTGAAAAACCAATCTTCACCTAAGCAACAGCATCCACCTGCTGCACACTTAGGTAACACTACGCTGGGCAGACAGTTTGGCATCATGTGGCATCATGCTGCCACATGGCATCACTTCTGAGAACAGGCCACTGTCTTAGCCTTCAAGTTCCAGCTTAAGAAACACCTGAGCTCTCAGCCACATTCCTATCAAAAATTCCCATTAATTCCATTTGCCTCTAAACTCCTTGGGCCCCACTCCAGCCAGATTCTCCACAACTTGCTCAGTGCTAAATCTGCAAGCAACCCCTCTGTATTATTGCCTAGGTATTTCACAGTGCTCCGTGCACTAAAGGAACATGCTGTGTCAGGTCCTAAATACAAGTACTACCTTCCATTCGAATGCTCATTTTTACATACTTCCTTTCAGAATTATCTTGGATACACTGGTACCTCCTTATTACAGGTCTGTCACCAAAAGCATGACCCAGCTGTTGACATCATCTGTGTTTTCCTGTATGCACAAAGTGATGCCAATTCATACACCGTAAATAATATATATTATAATAATTTATATATGCCCTTCAGACAATTATTCTGGGGAAAAGGGAGAACACATCTAATTTTAAGAAATCCAGGGTAAAAGCTGTACATTGGGAAGAAAAATTGACCTTTAGGCATTGTCTTAAGTAGAAGAGGATTTAGCTAAGATTTAAAAGGCTCTACATCTTGTTATAAAAGATCTTGTTTCAATCTTACATGGGTCAATTTACAACAAGCACCAAATTAACAAATATTATTAAATCCTTTATGCTACACCAAAGTGTCCCTGTGCCTTAAGTGTTCTGTTTCAGTCCGCTTCGTTGCGGCTCATGTGCACGAGTCAGCAGTTCATGGCACAAGGGTCACCTTTGGACTTCCCTGCAGAGCTAATAACCCTCATCAAGCAGCGTCCAAACTCCTCCAGGATCATGCGCTCCGCTGCAGCTTTTGACTTGCCCGTCTTCTCCGCTTGCTCTGCCTGCGCGAGAAGGCATTCGCAGGTTGCATCGGCCACCTCCTTGGTTACAAATGTAAAGGGCAGCCTGAAACAAAGGAAGATCCCCTCAGTCTCTGCAAAAACACACAAGGCACCTAACTCCGGGACAGGGCAACTTCTTAGTACAAGGGCTGGCGAGATTTCATTTGTCCCGTTGCTTCCAAGAGCCTTTAGACAACCTACAGGGAGTGAATAAGCCCCAATTAACAACAGCCAAATGAACTGGTGGGCCTTTATCCTTTGGTGCCTGCCTCCATTGATGGACATTTTGGAACAGTCATTGAAATGCCCAGGTAGACAGAACCATTCTCCAGCTTTTACTACACGGGTGGCTCGAGGATTACATCCTCTCAGTAAATGGCACTTGTACTTCGTGCTTTCTGTGAGCACACAGGCAACAAAGAGAAGACAATACTTAGTTACAGCTAAACTTGGCATGCCCCAGGTCCCACAGAAGGCAGGAACAAAAAAGCTCCATTCACCTGACTGCTCCTGCTTCTACAGCTTACACAGACAAGATTCAAAGATGACAGGGGCATACCTGTCACGTACATCAAAAAAACCCACACTAGAAACAACTTAAACATGTGCAGCATTAACTTACTTCCCACCACCACTGCTGAGTGCTGGTGCTGGCCTTGTCAGCAAATCTGAGATCTGAGAAGATAGCTTGGTCTTTGCAGCAGTCTGCTGCTGGACTCTAACTTCTGCAGCATCTGCTAAATGCATCAATGTCTTCCGTTCTGGGCTCTCTTCAAAATTTTTACAGCCAATGCATTTGCATATGGAAGAACACATGATTTTTGCCTGAAAGAAACAAAAAACCCATAAGAGACCTGTTGCAACCATGAGCCCTTTTATGACAAGCCACAACAAAAAGGAGATCTTGTTTTAATCTCTTACTAATTAGCCACTAGAAGAAACCCCCAAGCAGTAATTTTCTCTCTAAATTCTTACCTCAAGCTGAGATGCTTTCCAAGAATGTATACTTGAATCAAATAACAGAGCATAAAATGTAAATCAATGGTTTCCCACTCATCCCTTTCTTCACCAACCTCCAGTTTCCGTGGGAATTTAGAGGGTTGAGCTATGAGAGAAGTCAGTCTGCCACTGTCTCTACATCCACAGACTGATCAGTTAGCAGGTGAAGTAACAACTTTTGGTTTTGACTTTCACAGACACATTCTATCCCAGAGCATGCATGGGATGCTGATTCAACTCCTCCTAGGGACTTAGTGCAGTAGGTTTCTTTAGGAAATAGTGCTAGTCAGTAAAAAACAAATCCAAGCTGGAGTCTGAAGTTGCTACATTGTTTAAAATTAAAATTGCACAACAGCAGTGATCAATTTTGCCATATACATGGATTTCTATGTGAAAACTGCTGGGAGAAGAGGTAACATTATGGCAATAGAAAAGAAGAAAAAGCATTATAGCAGTACAAACAAGAGACAAAGCAAGTCACTGCACTAAATGGAAAAAGCTAGTATCTTTAAAATGAGACAATGTTTCATACCTCATAACATTCGCAGTAGTTTTTGAGACATCCCGAGCGCTTACAGTTACACCCTTTGCTGTGTCTCCGGTCCGACTCTCCTTCCTTTCCTTTCCCTATTTTGGGCTTGAAGGCTTCAGGGTTTCTGTCGAGGCAGGCCTGTTAATGCAGACCCAAAGGGTCAGTCATTGCACGCAGGGATCGGAATTTAGAGGTGCAATAAAAGAACTTAAGCCTTGCACATGTGGGAGGAGATCAGGGCATTATACACCCACTCTGCCCCGCTCTGTAGCTTCAGGAGACATAAGCTAAATAGCTTTCATCCCGGGGGCAGGGGAAGAGGCCCCTCACCTTTATTGCTTTTTGCCTATCATTTTCATGGTCCAGGTTGTTGTAGCAATTTGTACAGTTGCAGTTATTGCAGAATTCACCGTTTGCAAAACAATCACAGTACCTGAAACAGAAGATGCAGACGGTGTTTGTAAACATGACCATTACATTGGCGTTAGCACTGGTGGCAGCAGCAGAAGTTCCTACTCCGGCAATATGCACCAATAAGGGTAAGGGTCACCCTGTGCTCAACTCCACCTGTACAAGCAGTACCAGGTTCATTGCACAGCCAAAATCCTCTAGCACAGGTCTTGCTGCTGTCTAAAGACACAGGTATATCTGAGGGTGTCCACCTGAGCTCATGTTCACATAGCGCAGGTCCCCACAGCAGCAAGAAAAGCTAAGGAGACTTTTTTCTAGGGTGACTCCTGGGTCACCTACATACTGAGGGCCATCCTGCTGCAGCCACTTCACAGCCAGCTCCTGACTCAGCCAGTCCAAGCCAGCCCTCAGGAACTCTCATGCTGCTGGAACAAAAGGCAAGCAATTGGAGTGCCAGGTAACGGGCAAACTGACTAACACAGCAACGAGTCTTTTTTGGTTAGTTTTGCCCATACACTGTTTGCAGCTCTGAGCTGAGACAGAGTTCATCAAAAGAGGGATGGAAGAATAGAAAAGGAATAACAATTGGTACATCTTGGAGGCTTTGAAGCACAGGTAACAGGGGAAGGATCTGAATGAGGATAAGGCTGTAGTTATCAGAGACTTCTTAAAGGGACAAGTATATGAATAAAAAGCAGCAAAACATGGACAGGGAAAGCCAATCACATTGCCATGCCTCTTATGTACCTCTGGTGCCTCCCACCAAAACCAAGATCTCTCCAATCCCACAGATCTGACACATGGAAGTACCACATTCATCCCAGCTCAAACATGGCTTTAGGCCACAACAAACTCTGTCATGTTTCAATGCTTCCAGTACCACCTCCAGCTATGGCTAAAAAGTACTGATACTTTTCACTTGCTTTTCAAATCCTGCTGGGAGCATATGTTCATTTTTAGGAGCCTAAAAAAACCTGGCTTTCTGTGGCTTGCCCAGCACAATGCTACAAGAACTAGATTAGGGTCCCCCTGGAGTCAACTACAAGCCTTCATCTGGCTGCACTGTGTTTTGGTGATTTTTAGCATCTTGAATGGTCCCAGGGACAAACTACATCAAAAGCTTTTACAATCTGTAACAGCTTTCTTTTCTGTCCTGTCTAAAATTCAGTAGTGGGATGGTCCTGGCTTCCAAAACAAACAGAACATCAGTGAACAAATAACTGAGTTTACTTCTTTGCAGAACAGGCTATGTGTCTACCTTCAACATGCATTTGAGAAAAAGCAACTCCCCTTCCAGACAGGAAGAAGTTTTACTAGTAAGAAAGCACCTTTGCCAGAGTGAATTAACCATTTCCTCTCCACCAATGCCTAGCCACTTAAAGATATAATGACAGCAATTTACAAGAAAAGGTTGTTCCCAAAGCACTCTGAAGGTGTGAAATATCACCAGTGATGCCATTATTCTACCAGAAATTCTAGTGCACTATAGCATCAAAACCTAAAACAAGTGGAAAACTCCACACATCTAACACATACTGGGCACTATGAGGTCATTCATATGTGTAAAATATCTGAAAAAACAGCTACACAACTTCCTGTTTGCCATGTCTTCTATGCAAAAGACATAAAAGAAAGCACAGGGCACACCTCCCCATATAGAGATGGGGTGCACTAACACAAAAAGAAACACAAGCTTAAAAGTTTAAACACATTTCTTAACTTGGGTTCAGATACTGCTGCATCACTTCCCCTTTGAGTGCCACACCCCTGATTTCCTACTCATTGTCTAGGATTCAGGGAACCACAGATTAATTTCAGTATCTTCTTCCATTACTGTCCAAAAAATATCGGTAAACTGACTTTGCCTCAATAAGGAAACTGTCCTCAGCTTAGAATGCTTTTATGTCAAATTCTTACAAATACATCAAATGAAACAGCAAAATATCTCATAAGGATACGAAAGACTCAGACTATCAGTGAAGAATCACTTGTCTATTCAGTCCTTTAGTAAGAGATACAAAGCCCAAATTTGCTGAAGTACTCGAACCAGCATGATATTACTGATGTGCTTCACCGAAGTATAGTAAATGCCCACTGATGATACCATGGGATGCCATTTCCCTCATGGTAACACCAAAGCAACTAGAGCTGCTGAGTGGAATGGCTTCATGGATTCATCATGCAACAAGGCTGCAAAGTCAGATATTTCTAAAATGCTAGGGCCTGTATAGCTGACAGGAGTTGCAGAATTACACAGGCTCTGCAGCATCTCCACCGTTACCAACGGTAACCTTAAATTAGCATCTAGACATAAAATTTCTGACATACTTAAAAACTTTATATTCTGATACTTGGCATACATTTGTGATGATAAAGTTAAGGCTTAAAAAAATCCCCAATACCAAGCTGTACTTACAATTTCAAACACAGAGATTTAGTACAATTGCAAGGCTTCCTGGGGCGGTTTGCAGATTCAGAAGAAATTATTCTGTGGGGGGAAAAAGGGCATTTATATGTTTATACACAAACACTGTTTTGTCAGTTTCTTCCTATTTTAAATTTAAGTAAGTAGCTCATAATGAAAACTTTGAAAAAACCTTTATATTCCCCTTGCATTATTTTTTTGGCTGACTGCATTTAAGTAACTATTCTATGTAGTCCTTTATACAGTGCCTTTCCAACCCAGAAAGAGCTGGATTATTTGCTGCAAACCTGGATGCATGCCTAAAGTAGAAATGAGGCTTAAAGCTAGAGGAAGCATCATAACTAAAAACTGGAGTCAGGGAAACCGTCCCCAGAACCCCTCTAAATGCAGTGGGACTAGATCCAGTCAAGGTTTGCACAACACGATCATGGCCTTTTCTTTTGTTCTAGTTGGAATTAGGAAGAAAAAGAAAAACAAACCAAAAAAACTCTAGAATAATAGGAAAGCAAGCCAAAATCAGTATCCAGTTTATCTATAAGTTTTATATTAGACACAGTCTTTAACTGCTCTTAAAACTCAGATTTTGTGACACTAATCACTTCTGATGAGATTTGTTCCGTCCGTATCCAGCAATTTCTGCATGTAATACCAGGGAGATTAAATCAAACCCGTTCATTTGAATGGCTGCATCTGGATTTGGGATTAGTTTGCATCAGTTGAGGTTGCAGCAACAAAAAGCACCATTTCCAGCAAACAATAACACAAAAGGCCTGTGCAGAACAGCTAAGCCTGCTGGATTGGCAAAGGGAAAATAATACATGTTAGCTGTTATTTTCATCCTTAAAGGAAAAATGCAAGACTGAAAAAACCCAAAGCCTCCTATCAGGATCCATTTTGTTGTTTGGCTGAGTTTCTGCATGTGCTAAGCATCCAGCTCATATGTTGTCCAGTACCTCTTGCCAGTAATGTTGAGGAGTAGTTGAGACCTGTAGCTCCCAGGTGATGATACAAAATAAAAAAAGTGAGCAACACAGAGCTTTCGGGTCAACTTCCTGCTACCCGAGTTCAAAAAACAGAAAGGATAACACAGCTTTGATCAAGAGACTGGCTCAATTGTCAGAGAGATCCACGCCTTTTAGTCAGAGGTAGTAACCACACCACAGTTCACTTAAGCCTCCTGGAAAATCCCCCAAACCAAACTCCAACACCTCACCTCCCACCCTTCTTTATAATAGAAATGAAAGAAGATGCTCATTTAAGCAGCCTATTCCACAGGTTTGGGGTTGTTTTTCAAAATACTTACCCATTAAATGGCAGCCGTGCTTGGGACTGGATACTAGATGTCCCTGTGAAGCCAGTGTTGCTTGCTATAGATACATACGATGATTGTTGTAGCTAACAAAACAAAAAGGTTAATGCGTGACATGAAAGAAATTAAAGATGTCTGGCTAGTCTTTTAATTAGCTATCCAGATACTGTCATATAAATAATTTGCTTTTAAGTACAGTTTTAGACATTTATAGAACTTGGACCAGGTGGCAACCTCCTGCCTTCACACTTAGCGTAAAAATATTATTTTAGATTATATTTCTGTTCTCAATTACAGTGTCATACATACAGAGCCATAGAGATGACAGAGATAACACACAGAAATGTTCAGATCACAACCAGTTCCTGCTCCTAAAAACATGTTAATTTCCCCCCTTCTTTTCCCAAGCAACCCTGCCCCTAATAGAGCAGGATCACTTCCTGCACAAATTACTTTAGTAGCTTCCTTTATATACAATCCACTTAATACGGAATTAAAGTGAGTCATGGTTTGCATTCCAACTTCCCTGCATACCTGAACCCACAGTTTATTTGTCACATTAAAAAACCCAAACCTCCTAAGAACCTGCCAAACGACACTGTTCTGGGCTACCTTCTTGAGTAGTACCTACATGCAGCTGTTCTCTCCTGCTGGGACAGGTTCCAGATATGGACCTGCTGGGGCCAGGCAAAGGGGAGTGATTGTGACCAGAACACAAAACCTCAGAGAAGAGGTCCAACAAATACTATTAGTTAAAGTAAAATTTGTATAAGTAGAGTGGAAGGACACAGTAACAGTCCTCAGGGTCAAACTGCAAATGTGACAAAACCAGAAGGGAACCTGAAAGGAGGCTGGTACCAGCAAGGCCATGAGCTATCAGAGTCCTTGTTTCTACAAACTGACTCATCAGCCTTCAGCAGAACGTTACCTTTTATTCTGCTTTTCATATTGATTGTTGGTCAGATCCTGGCAAAGAGCAAAATCTAATCCCTAGACCTGCACTGGTGTGACTGGTACCACCTGTTTCTGACCCCTGCCAATGTGTTGGCATTAACTAACACCATTTTGTAATGCAAGCAGCCACTCTCTGTGACCAAGTGGGTCACATACACACTCCCTTTCTCCTCATTATCAGGCCCTGAAGGTCCTGTGAACCAAGCAGACAAAGCAATAGGATTTCTTCTTCCCTTCACTACAGGTCTCAGGATTCCTGGGCACAAGGCCAGTAACTCTCTTCCTTTCTGGCTGTGAATGTCTCAGGCACCCATCCAGGTAGCGGTGATGACTGTCACAGAAGAGGGAAGTGTAACAGCACACAGTCTGTAACACCAAGCAATTCCAAGTCCTAAGTGGGGAACTTGGCGTGGACCTGCTGCTGAGACCCATGAGCACACAGTGGCCAGGGTCACCTCCACTGACATCTGCTTCCTCTGAGGGCCGAGTGATTTGTACTTTTCTGTACAATTTTCAAGTTTAGATTATGACTGTTAAATTGATGAGGCAAGCTGTGTATCAAGATCTGACCCAATCTGCAGAGGGTCTAGGTGATTAGAAATTTTAAGTTGAGATCTAGGTCATTAGAACCATAAAGTTGTATTATAAGTCTGTATTACAAATTCTGTACTGTGGCACTCAGAACGGCTCTGCACTGATTGTGCTTATAGAAATCCTGTGCTATTCTGATTATAAATTCTATGCTATGCTAATAAAAAAATCCTGTTGAGAAAATAAACCTTTAATTGTAATTGATTTAGTGCAATCGTCATTCTGCCAGGGGTCCCTAAAAAAACCTGTTGCCTTAGCGTCAGGTGACAGTCAGGGAGTGAGAACCTTTAAGGGGAAGGCAGTATGTCCCACAACAGCAGCACATCTCCAGGTAACACCATACCTGTGTGACGTACTGAGCTGGAAGGACGGCATACCCGACGTTCCCTGTGCCAGGTGCTGGTGCCAGCACAGTTCCCGGTGGGAGGTTGGTGAGGTTGGGCTGTATCTGTGGCAGTGGAGTGGCTGGCATAATAAGTCTTTGTTGGGGCTGACTAGTAGTAACTATCTGTGAAGTTGAGTTGATTGGTTTGGGCACCACCTGGAGAGAGAAGAGGTCTTTATGAAATCAGTGTTTCACTGATTCAAAACACACTTTTATTAATGAACATTTCATTACAGAGCTGGAGCAAGACTTTTTTTCCGCTCAGCTAAAACAAGTCAGGAATATGCCTTTTAACACTTAGCTCACCTGTTTCACAGTCTGTGCTGGTACTATGGGAACTGACATACGCACTGGGGTCGTGTTCACCACCACTGGCTTCGCTAGTGTCAAGAAACAACATCACATTAACACGTATTATTCACTCAAAGTCCACAGTTCAGTCCTTCAGACTTTCACATATGCATAATGCAGAGGTGCTGTAACAATGCACTGCCCAAACTCATGGCATACAACACTTGGGTCTAAAGAACGCCCTTGTAAACAAGTATTTGGCATGAGAGCCTGCACACACATTTCACAGCAATGGCTTAAAAAGCAGCCTGGGTGCAGACCTCTTCTGGACACTGTATTTCTCTTACATCCCTTTTCCCTTTGAAATCTTTTATTCCTTCACAGCTCTGGAAAGCACAAACAGAAACCAGCAGAAGCATCTGGCACTTCTAAAGTAATTTACATGGAAGGATCTTCATGATACAGAAGTTTTGGCAGTAAGTTTGTGGGCTGTCCTGCCATCACACTTTTCATACGAGGATGTGGGAGTTGCCACGAGTGACCCACCATCTGGTAAACTAGGTAAAAGCAACTTAAAATGCTCCAAGAGTTCAGGCCCAACTACAGAGCAATTTGACACAAAGGGGCATTTCCACACACAAACCGTAAGTAACAGCAAAATATGACATTTATAGGAGTCTTACCACAAAACCAAGTACAGCTGGCAGTCTTCACAGATTTCTGTTATGTATTCATTTTAATCCTTACAAAACAAACACGGAAAAAAACCCCAAAACAATAAAAGCTTCAGACAATACATTAACACCAGCACTTACCTTGTTGAAGAGGCTGAGTATTCGTACTGGGATTTTGACTGGCTGATTGGGTTGAACTACTGGCTGTTGTGGCAGTAACGAGTCTGACATAATGGAACTTGCTTCCAGGTACCTGAATCTGCTGAACATTGGGTGCAGTTGCCAAAGGAATAATTGTCTTAAATTGAGATGTACCCACTCCTCCTACAGTAATGGTCTGCACTGCTGATTTCACAGCCTGTTAAGCCAACACAGACAGCATGAAGTTACTTGTACACAGGCAGAAAGAACATCAGCATGCTTATTCCTCAATTTGTTAGTGAGCAACTCTACCACAACATTCATATCCCTGAGACAGAAGTCAGTTGCCCCCATTTTTGCTTTCAAAAGCAGAACAGATGTGAAGAGATTAAATGCCTCTCAACAGCTCAGAGCAAACTCAGTTCCATTTTCAATGCTCTACACCAAACACCAGAATAAACTAATATTTACATGTGTGGGGTGACTCAGTCCACTTGCCCAGATACAGTGTCTGCCAAAACTATTTCAGTTGACTACCCAGAACATTATTCAGTTTGTATTCCAAAAGCAAGCAACAACCAAACCTAAAAATATTTCTACTAATAAAAGCACATGGTAAGAACTTGCAGAACTCTTTGTGCTGGACTGCAGCATGATTTATCCCTGTGTGTACAGATACATTCTGTTAAGACAGTCTGTGATTAATACACAGAAATCACTATGCAACCCTTGAGAAGAAAATGGAACAGAGTCCATAAACTGGCAGACATCAGAAACAGAGTACAAGCTGAGAAATGAAAAAAGCAGGAACAATGAGGAGTAGCAAAACAAATTCATTAAGAAAAAAGGCAAAATGGTGAAAGAAAGGGAGCTCAGCAGACCTGTACTACCTCACAGCTGGAGTATTGGTATACCTGGAATTTGAAAGACTTCATCTTTCCAATTTTTCTTAAGCTACAAACTAATAACATGTTTTTATTTTATTTATACACATTCATAAGCCTATTGGTTTGATAACAGCCTCTTTTTCCAGCCTTGCTCGACCTCAAACTTTGATTTATTCCTCCTTTTTCTTCTTCCGTCTAACTCCTTCTGAAGTTCAGTTTTTTATTCTCAGTATCTTTTAATATTGATATTAAACATATTGTCCTTAAGTTTTACTATTAAATTTGATTGGTAGTATGATGTGAATTCTTATGAGAACATTTTCCCAGCTCCCCAGCTTTCAGCAACTACACAAATGATATCTCAAAATTGCACACATTTCACTGGATATATAAGTCTGGTCTTTTAAAAGGTGTTTTCTTGGGATTTTGTTTTGTTTGTTTTTGTTTTGTTGTTAATACATTGAAACCGTAGCAAGCCAGAGCAATTCAAAATAAGTACTATCTGCAAGCACAGTCACAGACTGTTACCAAAGGGAGACCAGCACAGGCACAGGCAAAGTTCTCTCTAACTCTCAAATTAGAGGCTGCCATCCAAGGACAACTGGGAAAATTCTAAGATTCAAGTGACAGTTCTTCTAAAGGCATGTTCTTCAGCCCCGTGCAGACAAGTGAAACCCTTGTGTTGTGTCAGACAGCTTTGGATCAGAACCCAATATGTATACCCCACAGACTCTCTACTTTTAGGGCGCTTGCAGTAGAGTGACAACCTTTCAATGACTGTATCAAAAGACAGTTTTGCCACTTTTAATCTGGGGAAAAAAAGTAAAATTCAAATCTCGATGGTGTCCACATCCCCATATCAGCATTCCAATTGTCACCTGTATTAGTAAGATAAGGCTGGCAAAGTCTGTCTGAGTCTCTGGTCTCATGCTGTACATGCAACTGTGTCCGTTCCCTGCTCTATCCGCACTCTGTTTATTTACAGACACACACATCCCTTCGTGTTCACCAAAACAGGAATGCAGATATTTATATAAAAAAAAAACAAACCTCACCCAAGATTACAAAACAGGAAAACAGTAACAACTGCAGTTTGTAAGAAAGGTCAGTTTTGTCTTGTGATTTATCAATGCAAATCAATTTATAAAAGCTATTATGGAAAACCCTATTTTTCTAAAAATGAGACATAGCAAATGAACAATTTCTAGTTCTGTAGGTTCCATACCATGGTGTCTTACTTATGTGTATTTTCCTCTACCACAGGAATATGAATTCAATTGTTGCAAACCTCAGAAACACCTGGAAAGCACCCCTAGTCAGTGGAAGAGAAACACTGGCAGAAGAGAGAGAACCAAAGAACTCCTGCCCGTGTCATCGGGAGTTTTTCAGATGACCTGGGAGATTCAGTACACAGAGACAAGAACTTACACCAAGTGGAGCTTTCCAGGCTGGAAAGCTGCTTTCTAACAGCATGTCCTTGCACAGGCTTGCAATGGTTTGCGCCCCTCAATTGACGAAGTCTGTGCTCCCCAGGGCAATTCTTTTGCCACTTCTTAAGCAAACACCATTACAAGAACACCTTCAGACTGACCACTGCCAATCTGCCATCCAGCACTCCAGTTTCCAGCAAGCAATGACACAGACACGCTAGAAGACAAAGGAAAGTCAGTGTGTACCTGGGTGGTTGTGTGGTTGACTATAGCCTTCCCAGGGGAGGAGGGTGCTGACTGCTGCACTGTGAGGATCTGCTGTCCTAACGCTACATTCAGTGGGACGCCCACCGTCTTCTGGGGGGAGCTGGGAGGCTGGGAGGCCACTGACACCACTGTTAGCTGCTTGGCAAAACAAAGAAGCAGTTTAAATCCCCGGGCAGGGTACAGGACCCTGTACATACACATTCCCCTTCTCATGAAAGTACAGCTCTCCACCAGGTCACAGAGCTCCTTCTCTGAAGGCGAGGGCACTGTATTTAATCTCAAATCACGAGTCCAACTGCAACAACAGCAAACCCTTAGAAACTCAAAGGCATTGCTCGTTTCCAGCACCAAAAGGCTAATGCAGAAACCTACCACAGCATCTGGATTTTCTAAATAACAGCTTTATAATTGGTACATCATAAATAGAAATTTTAAAGAAGAGCTGTGGAAAAAAAATAAATCTCACCTTATACTGCCAATTCAGTCAAACTGTAAGAACATCAGTATTTTTAAATCTACTTTCCAGATTCCCACAGAGATCCAGTCATCTGACCACATTTCTGTAGAATGCAGTGTTTGAATACTCTATTCTATACAGACATACCCCTCCAAAGGCAGGGTTTCTACTTTTTGTTCTAAACTTCCTTACATTTTAAGAAAAATCCGAGTTATTGAAAGAGTTTGCTAACTGCTTAAAAGACACTTACTTATCTACACTAAATTCGAGATGTAACCCTAAGGAGTCTTTTCACACTCACTGTTAATTTTGATTCTACAGTTACGTTTTTTTTTAACTTCTTCTTCATGTTGCTTACCTTACTAAGAATTGCCAAACACAAGTCTTTCACTCCATTTGTATAACCTTACATCATTAAAGCACAGCCAAACCAAAAGAATTCTTTATTCTTACTCTACTTTTTATGTGTGATATTTAGCTCGCACACACTATGCATCTTGTTCCCTTCCCTTCCTTTCTGCAGCAATACTCCTCTTTTCAAGACAATTTCATCAAATCTAAAACACCAGTGTTGCCTTGACCTCTGCCAATCTCTAGCTCTGTATCTGTCATGGACCATTGCAAATCTCATTTACCTGGGGAGCGATCAGGGAAGACTAAATTACCTATGCAGTAGCAGGCAGTGGTTAATAAGTGCTGACTCATTAATATTATCAAGGTCTCCTCTTAAACAGCTGGTTGACATTTTATGAAGGCATTAAAAATAGTCTGAATGCTTGGCTAAGAGGGAACAGCTGCTCTCAGAATGGATGCTTAGGGAATGGCAAAAAATGGCAGGAATGGGAAACTAATGCAGTAATGCATATTTACTTAAAACGACAGTATGGGAGCCAACTGCAAAAATCTAACTCAGGGTATTACCACAGAGCATCGTGATGTGCAACAGAGACTCTGGAGATACCTTTATGGACTCTGGAGATATGTTTATTATCTCAGGAGAGATAATAAACAGCCTGTAGCAAAGACACAGAGAGCTCCGTTCAGACCTTGTGCAGGAGGGGTAGAAGGCTGCAGCCAGAACAGGTCCTTACCTTATTAGGGGATTTGAGTGGTGAGATAGCTATTTTATTCGGTGTCTGTTGTGTAGTACTCAAAGTTGATCCAATGACTCCGCTCTCAGAGATCGTTATTGTCTTTGGTGGTGTCCCTGGAGCAGACTGGGAAAAAACCCTACCTACAAACAATGAAGATACCATCAGCTCCAGTTATCCCTGTTCACGTTGACTTTTAAAGTAAAGTTTTCTCTGCATCTTGTGCAATTGATCCCTACTTCTGAGAGTGTACGACCTGGTACGAAGGACACTGGCGTTCTTTAAGTTAGATTTAGCATCAAAGAAAATAATTGGCATTATTGCAAATAAAACAACTGTTACTTGGGCTTGAAAAGTGCCAGAATGTACATTGAGCTTTCTGTGACATTCAGCTGCAAGTTCTCTATAGCCAGGACAGCATCCTGAGCTCCAATACACCTCTGCTGCACACAAACCCTCAGCCAGCTGGCAGTCTCCTAGGAAGTCCCTGGGCTGCTGCCAATGGATGGAGAAACTGAGCATCTGGGGGGGAACTACTTCCTTTTAAAACCTCAACCATCAAAAACGAGCTGTTACAGTGGCCAAGAAGAAGTTGTTTCATCTGTCTACACTGAACTCTAAGGTTTTTGGCTTTTTTCTTCTGTGTTGGTGGTTGTTTCTTTCACTGCCCAACAGAACATATGACACACATGTGAAAACAAGGGTGGTAGCGTGAGTCTACAAACTATCCGTTTTTACCATGCCAAAGAACAGTAAACATCAAAACCAGCAGCGCCAAATCATGAAATCAGTCTCAGGAATATTGCAAAACTCCCATAATGGAAAACAGATAATTTTTTTTTTCATACTTTCTATGTTTCTTTCCAAGAGAGTGCTCGACCACTGAGCTTTCCTCTGCTGCACTTTGGTTCAGACTCATTTCTGACATAGCTTGTCTGTCACCCATTCTGTTGTACTACATTTATAAAAATAAGAGACACACACCAGCATAACTTTTCCATCTAAAATCAAGTGGCGTAACAATTAAAGTCAACCGGAACTAACAAGAAAAAGCATTGTCCTCATGGAAACCTGATTTCCTCTGAGGTCTATGTGCTCTAAAATGACCACTTTTGTGCAGTCTAACTAACAGCACAGATAGTTGCCAGCAGCTGCTAAAGCCACATGCAACCTGAAGAATGTCAGAGTCAGTGAGAATTTTATCATCTACAGTTTTCAATGCTTTGAGTTATTTGCCTAGTGACAGCTTTCCCTTTCTTACTACATCTCCTCTGCACCCTTTGGCATCAGCTTCCTGAACAGAATCTGATTACTTATATTGACAAGTCTTTCAAATTTACAACTTCAACCTCAGTTTGTAGGAATTCCCAGGCAACTAAAAATATTTACCAGATTCAGGAAAACATGCAAACAAAATTGAAACTGAAAACACAAATGTTACACCTTCCCTAAAATGATGCCAACCTCTCAACGCTGGCAAGCTGTGCTGGCTGTTTGGAATGGTGAGAGGAAAGGCAGATGTTTAAAAAGAGTTCCCTCTTGATTAGTGAAGCATCTTCACCTCCCAGTGATGCTTTTCTAACAGGCTCAGGTACAGGCACTCTAGATTTTCCAAAATATTGATTTAAAAACTGCAAGTTGTTTTTAATGTTTTTGGGTTGGGTTTTTTGTTTGTTTGGATTTTGGTTTGGTTTTTTAACATAAAGACAGCTTAATTCAAATATTTAAGCAGGCATAGCAGTCTTCTTATTCACAGGTCCGTATATTTGGTAGGGAATTATTTGAGAAAGGGGACAAATTGGTGAGTGGGGTGGGGAATCCCTGTTTCACTTGAAACATAGGTTGGGCTGCAGGCAGCCTGACAACTCAAGAAAAAGATTATGTTTCAGTTACATGCCATTCACTTGTACCTATCAGTTTTGAATACAGGAGACAGTTACATACTTTCTAAAACCAGCTCAAGTCCCAGTTCTGTAAAGACTTAACAAATTTATTTAAATATACCTTTAAACAATATCTTTGTTTAAAGATTTTAGGCCTACTTGGGTTGTTCAATCTGGAAGCAGTTAAAGACATCCTTCAAAGCTCTGAAGACAACTCTGGCTTCCTACATTTGTCCTTTTCAGATAATTTACGTGTCTAGGATGTTTGCATACCTGCTGTGATGCATTCAGCAACAGATCCGTTGGTCCCACTGCCATAATAAACAAATGATTACACTGTGGGTTTTTTCTTTCATTTTGGTGGTGCTTTTGTTATTGTTCTATGGTTGGTTGGGGTTTTTTTTAAGGATTCAAAGATTTTTTTTTCCAAAGAGAAAAATAATTTCTTTTTTGCCTTAATTACTTTCTTAGACGCTTCTGAGATGGTTATTTTAGAAGTAGGTGAGCGACTTAATAGAAACCACACAGTTTTATTCACTTATTTCACTCAAACATTTTTCCTGTTACTTGCATGTATTACATTTAAGTCCAACTATAAGCAGATTAAAGTAATACAACAGCACGTGTCTCCTTTCCCCCTTGTGTGTTTATATAATGTTTCTACAATTACTTTCTGTTTAGCAAGTAGTCTTTTCTGTGGCTCTGGGGTATTTTTTTCTCCTCCCCAAAATCCATAAAGTAAAAGCATCTTGCAGTAAAAGCAACTCTGCAATTACAAAGATTATTCTAAATGAGCTAAGTATAAAGGTATCAACAACTGCATTTATCTGCTCCTACCCATAAAATGCTCTGATCTCTTTTTTTCCATTGCTTGAGGTACTTTGGCAGAAACTACAGTAAAATAGTTGAGACAAAAAAATTTCTACAATCACCACCTCTTTGAACAGCCTTCAAAAAAAGGTAAAGCAAAACAAGTCAAAGTAGTACAACCTGCAATGACTGGTGACACTTGAGTGGTCTGCCCTGTAACAGCTTTGCTATTGATTGGTTTTGCAAATATCAGCTTGGTGATCACCGGGCCAGAAGTTGGGGTTCGGGTCTTCTTCGCAATCTAAAAGATGGAGGAAAAAAGATCTAAAGTAACTTGAGCATTTTGGATCTAAATCACTGTATTGTTAAGTACATTAAAAAATAAAAAGGGCAATACTCGCACGCATAATTAGAAGAATAACTGCTTATCTCGCATTTCATCTCCATTTCTCCCTACGGAAAGAGCTTGGATATTATCCATGACACTTCAGAAAGCCAGCTACCAGAGTAGGATAGCCATATCCCTTACAGAGATATCTCTCTGTGCAAACATACCTCATCTTGAAGATGCCAAAATTATTTCTTACATGCCGTTGGTCTACATAAAAATATGAAAATTAAATGCACAACTCTCAATATTTGAAGCTTTAAATGAAGTTACTTCTTTCTCAGCCAACCAAGACAAAGCTTGGCCTCCAGTGACTTAAATTTGAAAATTATTGCTCTACATCTCTTGATCTATTCTGACACAGCAGCACACTTCTATTTTGCAAATGGGGAAACTGTCTTCTGCAACAGTTCCCCAAAAGTACGTGGATAATGAGTCCCTGAAAGTTTTGGGTAGTCACTAGCCAAGAACAAATCAGTTGGCTACCTCCAGGTACAAGAGGATCTTTTCTTTCTTTTGTGATCCAGTCTCCTGAAACACAGCTGGACCGAGAACACGTACATGCCATTTGATGACAGATCCCCTCAACCTGAAATCTTTATAAGTAGAGTTTTATAGTCTTAAAAGTCTTTAAGATTACTTTTTCCCCTTTCCCATACTGACAGAAGTTAACTCCCTGATGCTTTTATTCTAATAGTTTTTATACACCAGCACCCAGGTAGTGAACAGTTCAATTTAGAAGTTGACTTTTTTCAAAGGCTTTTAACCTGCTGACAGCAGAGGCTGCTACAGGTGTGGACTATTGCTAGGATCTTCCCTGAGTCCACATGACCACACTGGAAGGCATTACTGGAGCAGGCACATCCTACCTCTCCTCTACCACACACCCCCAGGCACATCCTGTGGGAACTTAGCCACCAGCTCCAGCAATATCAGAGAGGCACGACACCGGCATCCCTGTGGGGAGCCACCTTCCAAAGGCACAGAACCACCTTTATGACTCAAGTAGCTGACTGGAGAAATCTCACTGAGCTGACAGCTACTTTTAATAGCTGGATAAAGTTAGGAATGCTTAAAGGAAGCAATTGAGTAGGCTGGATGTTATGGTTTCCTACACAAAACCCTATCTATAGAATTTATTGACTGAAAACACTTTTTTTACAGTCAAGTAATGACAAGAGATTTGAAGTATTCAGTAGCACATCACAAATTCCTCAACTGCTCCACAAAGAGCACATGGGAGGCTGCTTGCACTCCCAGCAGCACACTCATGGCACAAACCAGGAAAGCCAGAGCTGCCCTTCTGCTATGGCACTGGAGCCCCCCAGCCTGCCACAGAAAGCAAACACCATCTCTGCATGCCTGAGCTACACCCAGCCAAGGGAAGGCAGCAGTGAGCAGCTCTGACACCAGGCACGAGCAGAGAACAGGCCATGTGCTACTCCACAGTTACAGCACAAGTGTTCCTCATAGTCAACCTCCACCTCAGACCAAATATGCTGCTTCCAGGGCACATCAGCTGCTTTTATAGGTGACATACAATTGCCAAGGCTTAAAACGAAACAGAAGAAATAAACCTGCTCTTTTTGGAGATATATTAACTAAAACTTTGAAACGTGAGTTGTTTGAAGGAGGAAGTTCCATTCACGGCTCTGTTCATAAATTTAACTCAAAGTCATTTTAACATTTCAAGGATTCAGTTCTTTTAGCACATACACAGCTGACAGATGAGCAGCCATTTTATCAGTAATTTTTTTCTTTTAATTTGCACACACTTTAATTTCTGATAAATTCCACGCATTTCATCTGCTTGATTTGAGATTTCTGTTCTGCTTAACTTAATCTTACCCTGCCATAAGGTATTATTGCAACTCAACTGCTATTGCTTTTACTCTCCAAAGTGAGAGCAAAGTCTGGCTCAGAACATGATCAACATCCAGCAGGAAGAGCCAGCTCTGGACAACAGCAGTTGTTTCCCAGTAACAGTCAATAAGTGTGCTTAAATGACTTACATGAATACGTGTAAAATACTAGCTACCATTAAGATGAAGTATTTCAGAAGAAAAATTTAAAAATCCCAAAACGAGAGTTGGTCAACACAAGTAGCCCTGCTTCCCTCATATTCAACTTGTAGTATCTTCCTCAGATAAATGTGCCCCTGCTTTTTGGGTGAACTGTTAGCCTACAAAGACAGTCTAATAAATAAGTGAATACCCTCAGGGCTTAGGAGACATAACAAGACTCAGACATGTTTGGTTATACGTGAGGAACAGTGCTTCTCCATCGACCTGCTGCCAAGCGAGCCTTTCTGAGGTTTTGCCACCAGAGCTGACAACCCCAGCCACCTCTGAGAAGCTTCTACATCAGTGGGAAACTCATGATACATTTTAGTAAAGAATGGACAAACCAGAGGAAATAATCAAGATGACAGACTGCCCCTTTGATACCCAGAAGGAGCAAGTTCTCTGGAGCCCTCTGCCATTGACTATACCGATCTCAACAAGCTTAACATTATTCCCCTGCCTATGTAAACTAAGCATGGCCTCTCCAAGTTACTTTGAATTAGACTGCAAAAATATTTCCTGGGGCAAAACGCTCTTCCATAAGAATATTATATTTACACACTAACCTTCTTTCCCCTACAGACGTAAAGAGATCTATTTGCAGGCAACTTGATTTAAGTGGTCAATTTATGTCTTCCTAAGCATTCTCGACTAAAGATGAACTAGCAAGTTTATACCATTGGACTCTGTTTTCGGTGGTCAAACTGTGTTCTATTCATACAGAAATAGGCACACCTGTACCTCACATTGACTGCATGGCCAGCTACCACAAAGGAGCTAATCCACTCCCTAGACGACCTCTCAGGAGGTTGTCCATGTAGGCACTCTCTATGTAATTTATATTTGGCATAATATGAAAAATCAGGGACTTTAGAAATAGAAAAGGAGAACAGCATACTTCAGAGAAGATGAAGAAACTGAGCTAGGAATGGGATTTTGAGGCTAGGGAGTGCACAAGGTCACTTTTCCATGATGAGCCGAAGCCACAACGATGGCTTAGCAGTTGCCTTGCCATGGCAGCAGTGATGCTGTGGAGATGTTGATGTAACTGCTAAAACCAGAGCCAGTTACCACATCAAGCCAAGTTCAAGTCAGACCAGCTTAATGACAGCCATGGTGATGTGTATGGACATCTGGTTCAGAGTCACGTGCAAGGCCAAACTCCTGCTTAGTGCAGTCTAAAGTAGTAACACCAGCAGGCACATCACTGCTTTTGAGCCTCTGTGGAGGCAGGAGCCACGGGCTGAAAGCAGATGCCATGTCCATGGCAGCAGTTTCAACTAAATCAGGACAAGTTCTGAAGAGACAGTAAATAACCTCTGGATATAGATGAGGCCAAAGGTCTTGCCACACTTTAAACTTCTCAGACTCATACCTCTAGAGCTACAATCAGAGAAGAAGCAAAATTCCAAGAAACTTTTTGCTGAACTCTACTAATTATCTCTCAAATGCTGAGATCTCAACTGCCACAATTAGACTACAGCAAGGCTAATTGAGTTTCTCTAATGATATGCAAAGCCCCTATGATAGTGACAATGTAACAAGAAGTGATGAGAGCTCTTTGTCATCTAATCTTTTACCGATTCACTTTTCAGCACCAAGTCAAAGCACTGTGCTGCCTTCCATCTGAAATACCTGATCCACAAAGCCCCAAGAGACAAGTTACACAAGACCCTTGGGAAGGCAGGGAGGCATTCGCAGCCTCCTTTTCCAGTCACTGAAAAGTTAAGGAGCTCGTTCAGGATGATGGGGTAAATGCAGGGACTCCAGGTCCAGGTTACCTCCCCAGTCATGGTAGAATAGCCCAAGAATGTCTCACCCAGCCTCATTTATGACTCTGATACTTTACTAATCTTCTACAGGGAGAAGGACTGTCTGTGAAGTGCTAATGTAATCATCTTCCCTGCAGTATCAGGTGCTAACATTGCCATTTTGCTTTTCATTTCTACTTCTCTCTCTCCTTATAGGAAAAAAGGCATGCCAGGTGTTAACAACTCAACCTGTTGTGCAAATGGAAGCAATGGTTTAACAAAAAGTGACCCCAACAAAACAAATTTACTCAAACTGCAATTAACCAGATTTATAAATGGATGCAAGTCCATTCATAAGAGCTCCTATCAAGGAACCTGTAGAATTTCTAATGACAAACAGCAGAGGTCATTGGCCAAGTTACTGTATTTCAGTCAGTGATAGCACAGGTCACCTCATGCAAGAAAAACCACATCACAGCTAAGTCATTCTCCTCAGTTTCCTGTATCTGTCACTTGGCAGAGAATAACTGAAGTCAAGCAACAGGAACTGACCCACTCTTAAACATTCCTATGCTGAGTCAAGAGATTTTTATAAAGGCTACAGTGAGAACCATTTATGTACCTTGATCATTAAGTCCTTTTAGAAAATTTATGTCTCAAATAGCCATTATTAAACAAAAGAGAAAATAGAAATTGGTGCAGGAATCATCTGCAGCTTAAAAAAAAAAGTCTTGAGATTTGCTCACATTCGCTTGCCACAAAATACTAGTCAGGAAACATTCGACTAATGAAACACTTAAAGCTTTGTCATTTTTCATGTGCAGCTGATTATTTTTATTAGAATACTTGGGGTTTAATTTCTTACTTCATTTAGAGGCAAAAATAAATATTTTTTCCATCATAACTTGCAACGAGTTCTGCTTTCTCCTCACTTCAAGAGGTCTTATTTCTGCCTCACTGCCAACTAGGACTAAGTCACTCACATTTAGTTCTGCCCTGTACCAGATGAAGATCAGACCCTTTGAGTCATAATCCAAGTCTTTCCAATACAATTTCAGATCCAAGCAGATTCTCTGTGGTTTCAAATATCTCAAGATCCATGTCAGAGACTGGGAATAAGACCTTGAAGTATTCATCTTACGATAGTGTCTAGTCCCTCATAATCTACTGACATGCTTAACTAGATTTGAGGCAGACAAGATATACCTTTCTGTTCTTTTTCAGATGCTGGAAGTTTTTTTCAGAGAGTTTATTTAAACAAACTAAATGTGATAGGCAGAAGCTATTCTTTCATAAGAAGTGTACACTTTGAATGAAGGACAACATGCGCATAGAGTTCAATTTAGCCTTCCCAAAAGTATGTAGAATTTATTTTTATAAAATGAAAATAATGAGAAAATTATTTTCATTTTACTGAATAGTTCACTTTCTCTGAGGCAAATCCTAGAATTCTAGACAGTAGCTAGAGGCAAACAGCATAAAATGGTAAACGCATCCACAGATGAAAGCATGGGCTAAGAGCAGCATTGTATTTTTTAATACAAAGAATAAACGCAAAGGCTGAAAACAACAGTGTGTCAATCAGTGCAGGAAACAGACAACAACAGCGGCAACAAAACTGGTTTTAAGATGTTTCATCAGCATAACTCACTTTACCTGTACTGTTTTTACTTGCTGGGACTGCAAGACAGAGGGCTGGGCTGTAGTGTTTATCAGCTGACCTCCCTGCGTCAGAGCTGAGACACCAACAACAGGTTTCACTTCCGACCGACCTCCAATAACAACTTTGATCTGCTGGCCCTGTACCTTGGAGTCTCCGCCTTGGGCTTGGGACACGGTCTTCTGCGACTGTGGGAGTTGGCTGTGGGGTAATGCTAAAACAATAGGCTGGCCAGACTTGCCCAAAGTTGTTACAATGAGCTTTTGCCCATCCGGTTTAATACTCTGATTGCCTATTTTAATGTCGGTGGTCTTGTTGAGAATAATTTGATTGGCTGAAATAGTGACGGGGGTCTGAGCACCAAGTTTATGGAGGCCGCCGGGAAAGGTGGGCTTTGCAGCTGCGTTCACATCAGGCGTTGGGGTCGTGGTGTTTGCTGTCGCATCGCCCGAGTGGCTGCTGGGGGCAGTGACCGATTCCGTGGTGACTGTGGCCGTAGTCGTAGCTGAGGAGTCGCTGGTGGAGCTTATGTTCACTATTTCTTCCAGTTCCGTTTCCATGGGAATAGAGTCTCCGATGGGCGACGACACAATAACTGCCTCGATGCCATCATCTTCCACCAGAGTGATGCCTGTGTCCATTATTTCCTCAGGGAGCAAGCTGTTGACTTCTGCTGAAACCACCTCCATTTTAGTAGCAGTGGCAGTGATGACCGGAGCAGGTACTGCAATATTTTAAAAAGTTATTGGCTTCCAGAAAACATACATTTTCAAAGTTCTATAAATAATATTACCAAAGAAGAAAATATCACAGAATTTTTTCAAAGTATCGTGCATGCACAGGAGGGATATCATGGAAACAAATCGTTATCAAAACGTAACACATTAGGCTGAACTTACTCTCAGTAATAACTTAGACCAAAGCTTTATGACATCATTCACTGAAGTCAAATCAAGCCACTTGACTTCGTGTGGATTACCAGTCCACTCCTGACAATACAGTACACAAAGAAGCAGTGTTTCTCCCTGAAAATATGGACACAGACATTTAAACTTACTGAAGAATAATGAAAGAGGTAAACAGCTTTAAAAAAAAAATCCAACAGATGATGTCTTTTTTCATACATGTCATCATTGATTAGCAGGGTATCTTGCCTCAAGAGACTTATTATCCACACTAGACATAACATTTTTGCCAAATTTTCATTTTGGAAATCTCAGAAAAACAAATGTTTCTTTAGTGACAGGTTTTAACAACACCACAACCTCAATCAGCAGCCCACTTACCTCAGGACCAAAGCCCTGCACTTCTAAGACGAACGGATAATCCCTCAATGTTCACTATGAAAAGAGCAGCTCAGTAATTTTTTTTTTCCTCAATACTCACCAGAAAACATAACGCCCAAATTCATGACTAATTTGAAAGGCATTCTAAACACAAAACAAAGAACACCCCATATGAAAGAAAATGGAATTTTTAAGCTCACTGGTAGGAGCAACCAATTTATGTATTAAAGAAAGACTAGTGAGATTCAAAGTCAGCATAACTTTCCACCTGAAAAGCCTTAAAGACACTGCTGGAAGTGGTCACGTCTACCATTCCCACTAAAGCTGTACCACTGTCAGAGTCTGAAAACAGATCAGCTTAATAAGGTATTTTCCCCACTTGCTGACCCCATGAGCACACTTGTGCACTGGATGGATGATCATACCCTGTAGGTGTGTGTACACATTCCCAAGTACTCATTATAAGCTCAAGAGGACAAAATCCTTGCAAATTCTGTTTCCTACTTGCTAGGAAAAGCAGAGCTGAGTTATTAATACTAATTCATAAGGAACTGTGCCAATAAAATCACCGACCAAATGCCAAGGTGACATTGTTTCCTCTGGAGTCATCGTGGGTCCGTTTCACTCACCAGCCAAAGACACAACAGCTGCCTTTTACCCACAAGGTAGAAGGACTGGGGGCAAAAAACCTGCTGTAATTATACAGTTTCCATGCCAAGCTCTGACAGCTATGCTGGAGCAGCCCACGGCCTCCCTGACTGCGAAGGGTGCCAAACGAATCCCCCTCACCTCAGAGCACAAGCCAGATCCAACTGCCATGACACTCAGGACGCCTGAGCCGTGAAAGGACTCGTCCAGATGACTGACAGTCAAACTCACAGCTCACTTATTGGCAGGCATTTAAAGATACAAAGTGATCCGATGTCACTGCCAGAAATACCTCCTTTGGAAAGCATTTCTCCCAAAGTAACGTCTGCACAGCTTGCAATGATGCCAGCCCCGGTAACCAGCCCTAGACAAAACAGCTCACTCCTCAGGACACAGCACTGATAGTATCACCTTGCTGCCTTAAAGTCAAATTGGTTAACTGAATACGAGATTACACAAAAACAGGAATAGTAAAAGTAGACTGCTTAAAGTAGACTGCTTCAGCATATGTTAATGCCACTAGCTCTTCTTCGGAGCTGTGTCACTTTACTGTCTCCTCAGCAACCTGCAAAAGCTTGTGTCTTAGATATTACGACTTCATTTCAGACACAAAAAAGACCAAAGCCAAAACCAAACCAAACCAAATCATCATCCTGCTCTGTACTGATAAATACAAGGGGCTTGGATCCAAAAGTTAGACTCCTAGGCTCAACTGCAATCCATATAATGATTGCCAATGAGTTTGAAAAGGAGAGAATCATCTAAATCAGACAGTGGAAAAGTCACCATATTCAGTAATTATAAATAATTTTAAATAACTTGCTTTTGGTTTGCATTTCTACATGTTATTCTCTAGAAAAAAAAGGTAATTTTTAGTATTTTTTAACACTATGACCATATTTACATATATTTAAGTAGTTCTGCAGTTTAACAGTTATTTGCATTTTCTTCTTAACACTTGGTTATGTAGCAAAGCAGTAAATGGTTATTAAATAGTTGAAGGTATATTTATATTAAATACATAGAGTCAGGATTTTAAATGGCATTCTGACTCCAAACCAACCACTTGCAAATTAGAATGCAAAAGGAAAAGAAATACATCACATCAAGTCTGGAATCAGCAACTGACATGTAAAAAGAAAAGAAACATTACTCATGGCTACTGAATTAACAGCTCATGGCGACCACATTGAAAGATCTGCATTTACCACGTCTCATCATTTCACAGTTAGCTTCCATTAATGTGTCCAGGCTTGTGTCACCAACAACAGCAAAAAAGAACCATACACAACCCACTTGTTCTATTTCTTCATTGCACATTGGATACGACTGAAATAGATACATGAAAGGCAACAATCAAAATCTCACCCTAACTATACCACAGGCTGCTGTCAAAGGCAGCTCCAGCATCCCTGCAGATTTTTACTTCTTGGTATCTAGCCAGGATTTCTCAACAGTTCAGCTGTTTATTTTTCACTAATGCTTTTATACCGTTTCCATTTTTTCCAGCTCCTCTACTAAAGTGATTACCAACAGTAAAAGCATGCCAACCTCTCTTAAGATTCTAACAGCTTAGATCTTCAAGAAAGTGTAGAGAATTATTTTAACTATTTAAAACACTTGAAAGCTTCCTTCACTTCAGCAGTCATGCTTTGAGTACTTGATAATGCAAGAAGTACACCTACAACCCCTCAAAAAGATGCATCTTTACACTTAACTTGGCTCAAAACCTGAAGAAAAAAACCAATCTAGGCCAAGAAGTGTATGAGCACACTATCAGGCTGGGGAACTCCACAAAAATCCTAGGATCAGATTACTAAACAGATAATTTTAGCCCACAAAAGAAAGCTAAATTAAAAGTTCAAGAAGAAATTCTTGCAATGAATTCTTGTAAACATAGCTCAGCTTAGGACACTCAGCCAGCCAAACACATATAAAAAATTTGGGACTAAAGCATATTGTCAGCAAAGCCTTGGACCAACAACATTGAAAAATGCTAGGTACTGCTAGGAGGAAGACAGGGACAAATTCTCAGCTCGAGTGAACCACCTGTGATCATCCTAGCCATAGAACAGATTTCTAGTCTTGATATTCACAAAGAATAAAACATATATGATGTTGTAAAGGGGATTTATAAGGAAGAGGGTAAATACTGTCAGGATTGATAGCAAATACAAAGAATGGTATCTCACAGGTACATGTGAACTTTGATCTTTTTTCTCTTTGTCACTAGCATGTCACTGCACAATCTTTAAGAAACTCTGTTAAAAGAGTTGAGATTGATTATATCAACACCTTTGTTGATAAAACACCAAAGCTGCCACACTAAACACAAAAATCCAAAAAATCAGTATCATAAAGCGCAGTGATCTGCAAACAAGTAAACAAAATGCAAGATGCAACGATGTTTGTATTTCATGTTAACTGCATCTTATTAGATCCAGGAATGTCTCTATTTCACTAAGATAAGAACAGTTAACCTTCCAGTCTGCAACCACGACCAGTTTGAGTACAGTAATATGTTACAAAACCATCAGTGAGGCTATGCACTGCAAGTAAAACTGTTCATAAATTCAGATTACACAGGAATAAGGCTGCAGAGACCAGCTCTACAAGAAGTCCTGGGAAGGTGCTGCATGTTAGCAAGGTCAGAATGAAGCAGCAGACCAGAAACTCATCACCATTTGTGGCTGCTTCAGCAGACCCTTTCCCATTCCCTTCTCAGTCCACAGCACACAGTTGGTGGTGCTCAGCCATGGGAACACTCTGGTATAACTTGACAGATTTAAGAACACTGGCCAGACCTGCCTAAAGTCATTGGCAACATTCATTTTCTAACTAAAGTCTCAAATGTCACCTTCACCAGAAAATAAGGAAATCAAATCAGTAACAGCTTTTGTATGAACACCTCGAAGTGCAAACCAAACTCACAGCACCACCCAAAATCAAAGGTTTCATGAATGCATTTCGTGGAATGTAACCCCTCGGGATCAGTAAAACTGTTGCCACATGCACAGCAAATGCTAAGTGAAACTAAGTATCCTTACCAGATACTGCAGTATCTGTTAGTAGTTCTGTAAAGCTTGGCCAGATACACACAATTAAGTGTAGCACTATTAAGCACCAGCAAGTGCAAGTATTTTCAGCTTCCCAAGCTATAAAGTGCAAAAATCCTTAAAAAGAAGTATGAAGAAGAACAATGAAGCCTGCCCTCAGGAAGGGGGAGAATGAGGCAGGAAACTTGGGTCAGATGAATGGCAGAGAAGTAAAAGTGGACAACCCAATCAATAATTGTTCACTCCAACTACAATGGACTCTAAACAAAAATGAATACAAAAGAATGCAGTATCACCGATCAGCCCGTAAAAAAGGGGTAACATTTGGCATTTCCACTGCTGAGACCAAAATGTGCCAACACTATCCCTCCTCTTTCTGATCAAGGTGGAGCAGAGGACTGTCAGCAGGCCATGCCTCACATTTGAGGATTTTAAAACTCAAAATCCCCATAATAATTGTATGGTTACATTAATAAATTGGCATATTTAAACCTTAACTAGTAAAGGTTTAAAAATATAATTTATTCCAATCCTAAAGCCATTCATTAGAACAAAAGCAACAGCAGGAGGAAGAAGGGGAAATACAGAATGAATCCTTCATGATTTAACTGAGAAGAATGAGATGCTGTCAACCACATGCAATCAAAATTTAGGCTTATAGGCTTTTCAAATTTTTCAGCTTCTGCTTATCTGCCCTCTCCAACAGTGGCAGATATGTAAACTCCCGAAGGCTG